GAGAACAATACGGAAGTACAGTCAACTGAAATTACATTTTTATAGTCTAATTGTCTTATCACTACAGTGATACCTATCACGTTAGAAGTTATCTAGCTCAGCAGTTGTTGAAAAGGAGCAATTCTCAGTACAATGGTGCACTACCAAAAGTTTAACAATTAGGACTGGAAGGAAAGGTTATTGGAGGAGAAAATCTGGATTTAGAGATTACACATACAAAGTTTCAATTAGGGTTAGCAACTACCACATCTTCAGAACAATACCAACCATGTTCAAAGGTAAACTATAAAATGTTTTACCAGGGTCAGTAAGAATCCTTGGATCTTCTAGGTGCTTCTGTACCTGCAAGCTTAATAATAGTAACCTTACAATCCTGAAGCAGTGTGGTGAAACTGCAAGGTAAAACTCATTATACAGTAGGATGTGAAACTACATTGTGTAACTGGAGGAGCCTTGGCAAACACTGGTGAGAGTCAATGCCTCAACTGAGGGGATGGAGGCAGTGGTGTGAGATTAACAAAAACAAAAAGGAAAAAATAAAAAAATACACTGCGTTACACAGTGGCATCCAGGCTGGACTGTCCCTATTTAGTTGGCATCCAGCCTGGGGAAAAAATTGCTTAGCACAGCAGTATCTAGACTGGAAGAAAAGGAGCGTGAGCCCAAAACTCAGCCTGCCCCAGTGGAAGATACACAGCAGGACAGGAGGAAAAAAGAAATAAAGGAAAAACTACAGTTTTATGCTCACATCCCAGTCCCCTCTAGGACGGTCACTGGAAGGCTCTCCCCTTGCAGGGGTCTGCATGTCCCTCTGGGAGTTTCTCAGAGTCTTAAAGGGTTCCCACAGCTGAGGCTCGTTCTTAATTAGCCAGGGCAGCTGTGGTGGCTAAGGCAATGCATCACCCTTAATCCAGGGCTCCGCCTCCACACTGAACACGCCCCTGCAATTGCTAAACGAGATTCCTATGCAATTGGAACCAGCATTATTTGTTGCATCTTAATGCCTCTTCAAAAATATTTTGGTTTGAAGAAAGATTCACAGAATAAGAGGGGCTGAATTTCACTAGGAGAAGCACAGCGTGTTGTATGTGACATTTTGAATGGGATAGTGGAAAAAAACTTGGCATGGCAGCAGTCATTAACAGATGAGGCTAGCTGCATGTTAATCTAGGTAGTTTTTTTTTCACAACTAACTGACATACTGTGCAGGCCTCAATTTTCATGAGAGTTTGGTTCCAGAAACTGTTTTCAAAATCATAATTCAATTTTTTTTTACAGAAGTCCGATTTATGAGCCTTATGCTCATTGAATATTTTAGACTTCAAAAGTAGTAGCTTTCTAGCTATACTATGCATTGTTTAGTCCACAAACATTTTGTAATACCCTGTATCCTGGAATAAAATCAACAAGACACAGTAATTTGTGGATTAAACTGACTTCATAAATAAAAATAATTTGTGTCTTACATAGCAGAAGATAGTTAACTAAGTGATACATAATTTATTGTGGCTTTATGTAAACCCAGATTCATGCAAGTTAAACGTTACATTACCCACAGTCTCTGTATGTGCAATTCTCCACCAGACCTACAAGTTGGTCACTTCTGATATTGAGTTCCACCCAAGATGAAGCACGTAGGTTGCACTTATTAGATCTCCGTATGTTTCCACACTATTTTTAATGTGTTTTTTCTAGGGTGAGTCATCTCAGATGAGATTTACTTGAGTGTGTTTCAGGTCACTCCCTTGTCCTGAGGCCTATAAGAGATTCTTAGATCACTAAGATACCAAAAAACGAAACAAGCGAGCTATCCTAAAAGGCTTTCACTTGCTTGCAAACTTTCTGATGTTCCCAATATCCCTAATGTCTTCCCAGGGTCAGGGACTACCTCCGAATAAATAAAAGCGTGTTCAGTCTTTAAAAAGTCACAAGCAGGCAATCTAAATTAGAGCAATTATTAGAGCAAGACAAGGAAGGAGCAAGTAAACATGAACCTGGGACAAGTTTACTCAGCCTGGGCTCTCACTTCTATGATAATCAAGACCAGTAGATCCTAGGAGCCCATGTTTTTTTCAGTACACAAATCTGAATAGTTTACATCTGGGAGTGCTGTTCCCCCCACAGCACAGTAAAGCATAGTTCAAACTCATATAAAAAAGCAGTTACAGGGAGATTTAGCCAACACTACCACTATATTAAAGAAACATCTCTGCAGCTTCACTTTTATACCCGTATGGTGAATTAATCTGATAAACTGTAGTTGCCTGATAAATGTATGATGTCATTAATACTGTACCACATCTTAGATGTTCTCTGTAGCTGTGTAGTTACATGACATTTCCTGGGGGTTTATTTCTGTGCATATTTTCTTAGATCTTATGCCAAGAATAATGCCAGGGCAACAGAATATTTTGAATAAAGGCAGATTGCACTGAGTTATATTTACCTTCTAGCTTTACCAGTGACTTAATTGTTACCTCCAAATAAAACTGCTACGCCAAAGGGATTTAAGAACAATAATTCTGACACTGAACAGAAGCACAAAGCTTCCAACAGCTGTGTACTTCTGTTGCAACTAGGGAACACCAATACACTGCAGTATAGTGAAGAAAATTGGTCTCATTTTTGTAAAGCAACACATGGGCCAAAAAGGAGACCATCTAACATTACATAGCACTGTAATGGGCAATATTTCACAAACTTCCTTGCATTTGTAGTATATAGCACTTTTCACCCTAAAAAAGTCACTTTACTGACTATTTCATCCACTGTAGTGGACCACTCAGCTCAGTGATGTGCAGCCTTTATGCTTTAGCAGCAGGTCAGGTGAAGTGAGAAATGGTTCAACTGAATTAAGGGAGATTCTTTTGGAAAATCAGATGGTACAAATCCAAAAGGAGCATAGCCAGAATACTGGGGTTAACACTACTACAGTACCTCCTTCTGCAGTCTCTCTTGTCTTCCTAGTGGATCACTGTCTAGACCAGAGAGAGTCACCTACTGTTCCAAACCAGGAAGTCAATACAGTATTGACCTTCATACTTGTATATACAGAGAAGTAATAAAAAGTACGCGAACAAATAGTATAGTTTGTTTTTAGTGCTTTTCAGTACTGTAAACTAAAAACCATTAAGCAAATAATAATGCATTAAAAGCAATAAAACATGTAAATGAAAATGTCTAATGTCATCAATTACTTGTGGCATAACTTTGAATTTAGTCTTGGGTTAATTTCACTTATTCAATTTGCATGGTGATGGTCTAATAATGCCCTAGTCATATTGCTTATATAAATCCTTAGAAGTGGTTTAAAAAATAATCTTGAAACTTGTATTTTGAATTACATTACTGTGTGTTATAATTAAGTAGAATTTCACATCACTTTACCACAAAAATATTTAGGAGAGAAAGACACCCCCCGCCTTGCAAAATCTTTACTATTGGCAAATTAAAAACTTCACAAATCTTAGATTATAGACTAATTTTTAAACCAAAACGTGATCTTTACACATTTCCTACATTTAGCTCTTTGCATTTGACATTCAAAATTTCTTGAGGTATCTCATTAGCAGAACAAATTTTGCGTTTTGCAATTTAGTGCTTCTTACCACTAAACTAGCAGCTATAAATAACAGTAACATTTAAAACATCTGTGTTCCACTAGACAGGGCAGTGTTTGCAAGTAACAGTCAAGGAAAACTTTAATTCAGGAAACTGTTAACCAGGAACAGCTTAATATTCTAACATTCTAACTTAAGATTTAAAAAAATTCTCTGAAAAATTTAACTACACAAAGCAACAGTTTGTCTTAACAGATAACATGACATTCTATATTTTTTTAAAAAGTGTAGCCCATTTTTTAAGTCATTGCATGAGTGAAACTATGTAAGGACTACATTTTCTTTTGTTTATAACTACATTCAATCATAAGACTTTTGTTTCAATGCATCTAAAGTTGAACAAACTGCTGCCTGAAGTCTAAATACAGTAACTAAAGCTACTCTTAAAAGCCACTGGGCTTTCTCTTCAAAACTTGGCATCACAACCTTTAGAATTAAGTGGCAGCACATCTACGTTGCCAGTATTGCCTTTCAACTAAAACCTGGCAGACCATCCTACCAATAATTAAAAACCCCAAAGCAGCTGAGACACAGGAGAAATAATCCAGAAAGTTCTAGGAAGGATTTCAGATGTCTGTGTGGTTTGACCTGGTAAAACAGACACACCCTGAACAGATGCATTGCAGCAAAGAAAGGACTTCATGCATCATGTAAAAACTACAGAATCCCAATTTTTTAGAAATGAAGATATTTGCATATTTAAAAAGCCATATTAAGCACCAGTGTGAAGATTAATACACACTTAGTTTTTTTTAGAGGGGCGGGGGGCTCTCCTCACCACTATGGAGCCAACAGCTTAGCTTACTGTAGCTCAGCAGGTGTGAGCCTGGTCAGTACCTGAATGGGAGACCTCCTGGGATAAAACTAAGGTTACTGCTGGAAGAGGTGTTAGTGGGACCAGCAGGAGGCTCACACTGCAGTCTATGTGGGTCCTAATGCCCCAGGATAGTATAGGGACACCATACTGTAAAAAGGCACGATCCATTAGATGAGACGTTAAACTGAGGTCCTGACTCTGTGGTCATTAAAAACCAAGGGCGTTTCTCAAAGAGTAGGGCTGTAACCTCGGTGTCCTAGCCAGATTTCCCATTGGCCCTTACCAATCATAGCCCCCTAATAATCCCTATCTATGAATTGGCTTCATTACTCTGTTCTCCTCCCCACTAATAGCTGATGTGTGATGGGCATTCTGGCACACTATGGCTGCTGTTGCATCATCCAGGTGGATGCCACACATTGGTGGTGGTGGAGGGGAGTCCCCATTACCTCTAAAGCTGTTTGGGTGGACTGTCCAGAAAAGCACTACATAAGTGTAAGCAATTATTATTAAGAATTAAAGAATTTGTGGAAAAACCTTGCAGTACTGCAAGCAGTAGATACCTCATTATTTGTGCCCACATCCAGCATCACCGGCAGACACTGGTGAGGTTTCACTCCACCACATGCAGTATAAAGTGCCAGCTTCCCAACAGGTATGCCCATTCCATAGCAGCCAAGATCCCCAAGACCAAGAATACGTTCGCCATCAGTCACAACAATAGCCTGTAGGGGAACAAATTAACTTCATGTTATTCAATTGTCCTTAATATCAAGCTGGGCACAATATCACAACCTTAATGAATGTCCCATATTTAAGGTCTTCATGAGGTGCAGCCAGTACTGTTCCAGAGATCTCGATGTACAGTGTATACTAGCAACAAATGTATAAACTAATTCCCCAAAATAACAGCTGTTTGATTAAAAAAAAAACTTCAAAATGATAGAGCTGTTTACTTTAGGTCTCCCTGCCAAAACACAGTCAGGGTACAAATTTTCAGACATTTGCACAAGGCACATATTTTAGCATATGAGAAAAGTCCCTTTTCAATTCTTCACATTTTCTAAAAAGCGTGCTGTACAATGAATTGTTCCCATTGACTTGTTTACTTTCAAAATGTGGACAAACCCTAAACAGTATTCAGCATCAACATCTAAGCTTTGGTGTGAAGTTATTTCAGACACAGTGTACAGTTAATGTTTTCAGCATACTGTAACATTGCTTTGGTATTTAAACACCAATAGTATTCACGTTTTAAGATTGTTTAAACATAACTATTGTATTAAGTTCTGAGGACCACATAGTAAGAAGTTTATACAGTACAGTAGAGTTATTGCAAAAAGTCCTCATACTATAAGGGCACTTTGCCTTATATTTGGGACGATATGCTTAAATTGTATTGAAACAGCTAGATTTTAGATGCAGTATACAAAAATCTAGAGAATACTTACTGTAACAGATATTTGATTATCTAGAATCACAGTTATTGCAAATGGTTTTAGTTTTTATTTCAGCATTCTTGCATAAATCAATGCAAAAGGCCATTTGATTCTTGTAAGGATACAGGAAGTATAGCTTTGTAACACAAAGGGGATTGTTTTCTTTTGAGGCTGTTCTTTGTTTTTATAATATCTTTTCATTAAACACCATTCCCTGAGCCCTGAATGGTATTTTGTTGGCCCTTCAAACTTTCAGAAGGCTAATTCATTTTGATACTTTGCTATATGATTCATGCACAAAAAAAGTTATGAAAAGCCCTTTACAATACCCATCTAAAAAAAAAAGTCTACAGAAAATCACTCAGAACTCAAATGTTTCATCACTAGTGGAATCAATTTGAAATTGTAGGACAACTTTTAAATAAACACTGAATTCTGCCAAGTCAAACCCCCTACTTTAGCCATTAGTCTTAAGTTGTATGTCAAGGTTTCACAGTATGTTAAACATTGCTATGCTACACTGAAGTATTTGGGGAGGGAGGTATCTGGGGTGATGTTTTCATACTGATTGCCTGTTATGCACCTCCCTCCTCTACTTTTGGCTAATCAGCAAAACTACACTCCTAGGTAGAATCAGGGAGATCAAGACACTTAGATTTACATACAGTAAATTTCACGTGAAATTTGTGATCTACCAGAAGCAAGCTGTGACAAATTACCAACAGACAATTGACAAATTTTATATAGTTTACATAACATTTTCATAATCAAGCTTGATGTTTAACAATTCTGCTTAGGCACACAGGTTTAGAACTCACCCGAATATCGTTTTCAGGCCAACTTTTAAGCAATGTTGAGATGTGGAATCGATCATGAATTGTAATGAACAGACCCCTAAAACAATAAGGAAAAACATCAAATGGATATTTATCATTGAACTAAAAAATTCCTGCAATGAGATATTTGCTCGTTTTGCACATAACTTGCAAGTTGAATGACTTTCATCTCTCTTTAAAATACAGTATGTAACAATCTGCAACAAACATAGAACTCTACATTAGTTACAGTTACAGTTTTTATAGTATTTTTAATTACATTTAATTTTCACACCTATAGTGTTAATATTAATTAAAAAAAACATGTGACTGTGGTAGGTATGGTATTCTATCAGTCATGTAGCGACATATGGTAATGATATGGTCTTAAGTATCACTTCCATATGTGCTGGGTGAACAGAAGGCTTCCTTTTATGATATATTCATTACATCTTAACCCAAAGTCGGCTTTAGACAAGATTTATAATGATTACAATCTACTAATGTAAGATTTGCACCACTATGACCGCTTAAACTTACCATCCTTACACAAGCAGTTCAGTTATAAAACATGTTTGAAATCAATTCTCTTTACATAAAACTTTCCTACAAAATGTATCAATATAAGCTATATTGATAAAATATATTGAATTCATATATTTAAAAAATGAGGAACATTATAGAAATGGGAGGTAAACTTAGAACCTATTAAAGCTGAATATGCTGTATATAATAAATATTTAACTAGATAAGCTAATTCAGGACCAGTTGTAATTTTCATGAATGTGGTCTAGTAGCTTGGTCCATGACAACTGGTACTATTTAAGTCAAGCATTACACAAGATTACAAAATGCACACGAAAAAAAAAAACTTTCCATATACTGTAAGTGATCCCCAAGTTTGTTTCATAATGTAATAGAAGACAGTGGTCTGTATCTACTTGGTTTGTTTGATGTCACCCTTTTCGTTAATGGAAGTTTAGTGGATTTGGTGTAGACATCTAATTCTTTAACCAAACTTTGTGTTGAAAATGTTTGGATTGCAGTGTCTACCGTCCATTCTGGGCTCAATCAAGAAAGGTATCCCTTTAGTCATGTGGGAAAGAAATGGTTTTACTCTTCTGCTATGTAGTGGGGCTGCTGCAGCATTATGGCTGCCATCCTTTATCGATCGACGCATCCAGCAATAACTCCGTGTAGCCCCGCAAAACTGCAGTCTTGCTGTCGAGTCACAAACAGTTAACTGATCCTTTTGTCCTGTACTGGACAATTAGTCCAGACTGAGGTGTTTAGAATTTATTTTGCTTGTTTATTTTTGTTTCCACTAATTTTATAATAACACTCAAGCTAAAATTCTTATAAAAACATTCTTATTCTATCTGATATGGATTTACCTTATTGTTTTTGGCAAGCACTTTATAATATAAAAGATTAATGTACACGGTTAATACAATTTTTTTAAAATGTATTAATAATTAGCCCAGGCACAAACTAAATACTGACCATGAAATTCCCCAAACATTAATTTCACATTGTCAGGTTTTCAGTTTAAATTCGATCTGGAGCTTGCACTTTACAGTGCTTAGTTGTCAAAGGAATTGTCCTTTCACAGGAAATACTGCCAAAAGAACACTAAAATAAACTTTTAGCACAGCTTTTACAAATGGGATCACTTAATAAGGATCCAGGTGTGATTACCTGTTCTGATAATTGAACACTATTAAGACACTAAGAAAAGCTTCCATGGATCTCAAATTCCACTTCCAAGTACTGGAATTTTTATAGAAATTTGTAGGGTACAAAAAGGTTCTCAATATATACTACGAAAACAATTTACGTCAAGTATGTAGTTACCAAAAACTTCAAAATGCCCATTTTCTTTGAATGCTGGGTTATGTTTAGCTCAAAGTGCTGCAAGATAGAACACATTGAAAGATTTTTTGAAAGTGTTCCTTGACTACAGGCTCAGTTGGGAGAGCAATCAGTGAGTGTTCTTCTGATGAAGCAGCTTTCAGAGGTAAATTCAGCTGTTACTGTCAGCAGGGGTGACAAGTCGATCGAGTTCACCTCTTCCCGGAAAAATAAATGGGTGGAGTGGCTTTATTATAGTGCCCAGAATTAAACAGATAAAAAGGTTGTTTTATTTGTATTATTGTCAGCTTAATATTTTAAGATACTGTATTTCAGTGATAATTTAAGTTGTCAAAACTGCATCATTATGGAATTATTGTATGTACTGTAACTGCATTAATAGAGTTCTTGTCATCACAAAGATACTGAAGTGCTTTACTTATGGGAATTGACTCACTTCATCTACCACTGAAGTGCAAGACCCATACCGGTGACATGGAGTAGCCATGCCCAGTCTCACAACATACTGTAGCAGATCAGTTGTACAAGTGGAGAAATCCTTCTTCCTTGAAATAAGGGGAACTAACGTTCAAGATCTGAATGAAAATTCAGGTTGGTCAACACTCAATTTTTCCCCCCATTACTATACGTCAAGCAAAAATAAGGGCAGTTTTTTTCTTAACATAGGAACATAAAAGGCTAGAAATAAAAGGGACACTTTTGGCCTATATGGTTTAAATAAAAGTTAAATCTGCCATTAAAACGTTTTCCTTTTGAAGACAAAATGTCTGTCCTTATAATCAAGCTGTAAATGATGTTATATTCAACCATGTCTTGAGAATTTCAAGTGCTACAGTACGTCTGTCTTCTTAGTTGATATAGGAGATATTTAAGTTAACACTTAATACATAAATGAAGATCAGAATGGAAGAGAGAAAAGTGGGCCCCATCAGTTTTGCCTTTGAAGTCCTCGGGCGGCTTTATCTCCTCCGTCTTTATCAGAATGATTGTACCTCTTGAGTGCCGTCTGGTGCCCCAGTGGAATCCTTCATTTCGGACAAATACAAAATGGTTCAGACATTCCAAGGCACAGCCGGCTAAAAACTCAAAGGATCCTCTGTGACAAACTTGTATTCACAATATACGAGCTCTTATACAAAAGGAGTATTTACAGCTCACAAATGTGATTAGTAACAAGACATTTGTGCTCCAATGTAGAGAGGAATTTCCAGTACTAAAGCTATTAAGCCACAACTTATATTATACCTTTAAGCCACAGCTTATTGCAAATGCTTTCAAATTACATTCAGTTAAAGTTTCCAAATATAATTAAAACATGCATCTTTTTTCCAGTCACTTTATACAAGGGATATACAGTAGTACATGCAAATTCGTTTCATTTACCATCATTTCGAAAGGCTGGGCTAAGTTTTTCCGGTTCATTCTATACACCTGGAATTCACATAACAGCAAACTTGAACTTTACATTGCATATTTTAGCCAAATGGTCCAAATTTCCTTTGGGAACTTTAACTCCAATAAGCCAATGATTCAAATATCTGTGTATAGATTTACTATATTTTAACCTGTACTTTAAAAAAATGTTTGAAGGGAATTTTGAGCTGGAAAATTTAAATCTAAAGTTAGTAATATTAGAATGTAAAACAGTCAGGGTATTATAACACTAAGAGGAAACTGCACCCTTTGCCGTTTCATGACTACAAGCCAAACTTAATTTTTGGAAAGATTCATATTTTCCACATGCCTTCTCATGCATTGTCTAACACAAAACATTTCAGCCACTTCACCACTTACTGTATGAATGTCCTTTTATACAATGTAATTACTATATGTCCACAGTTGTTTAAATGTTATTTATCCTGTTAGTACCTTGATTAAACTGATGGATCTTTTTGTACAAAGATAAGTACAGTAGGTAGCACAAACATTCCATAACAGCTAAGAAAAACATGGTTTTGCAAATGTAAAACCTTAAAAAAAAGATTTTTAATCATGTCATTGAAAGCATGTGTGATTTTAAGGGAACTGTAAGGTTTTAAAATGAGCATTTCACCTCCATTTCTAATGCATTTGGTCAGAAATGGTTCATATTGGTATTTAACTAGAAAGAGCATTGCATGGTATTTAGTAATATAAATTACTTGCTTCCAGAATGCAGTCTTTAGTAATGCTTGGAGGGTATAATTGGCAGTGGCAGTCTAATTAGTAAAGGCAGCTAGCATGCAAGACTGCTCCTCTAGAATACCAGTTTCATTTTGTGAAGGATTACCCTGCTTTTGTAAGATCGGAAAATCCGGTCAATGGCCAGCTGGCAATTAAAGAGCCAGACAGTCTGAGAAAGTAATATTTTAGACACTGTACAGTTAAATAAAACCAAAAAAACATTCTAAGCAACGTCATTACACAGCCTCAAGGTACATGTGTTACAGCTTGAGGCATACTAGTTTATATGGCTCTATAGTAATATTTACCACAACATGGCACCAGAAATGATGGGCAATGTCATATTTTAAATATGAGGTAGTGTGGTTTAATTTTTCTGCTGTTTCCTATATTTAGGGTATTTCTGAGCAAATTAGTACATTAAGAACAGCAAATTGGCTTGTTGCTGTAAGAAAGCCTTTTTGTTTGCATTTTAAGATCAATGCTGTCGTAAATGTACTGTATTCATTCAACAGCACTTTATTCATATTGAGTGAACAGCCACATTCATCAGATAC